TCATATCAAAAGGTTCTTTTTTTAACATATACTTTCTAAATTGTGATACTATTACTGTAATAGCATCAGGACCAAATCCCATTTGTTGAATTAGTTCACAAGCATAATGACAATTTTTTCTAAATGAATTAGCACGCAAACCACGACCTAATATAAATAATTTAAATAAATAATTAATATTATTAATATTAATTAATTATTATTAATATATATAATTTAAAACTTACCACGATATACTGGATGCAAGAAATATGCCAAAACAAAGGTTTTATGATCTAACTCTTTCCATCTATCATTAAATTTTTTAAAACTATAATCATGAAAATTTTGATACATATCATTTGTAGTTGCAGGAATATGATAAAGAGAAGATCCAAGACAACATATATGAAAAAAACAATCAGCTAATGTTGCTGTTTTTGATTCAAGAATTGTGATTGCATTTTTAATTGGTTGAAGAATATTTATTATTTGTCGAACATCATCAAAAAATCCTCATGAAGAAAGTATTCTAATACAATTTCCATTTAAAATATTTGGTTTTTCATTTAAAATCTTAAATAAAATATTTAAAAATTTTAATTAATTATTTTAAAATATAAATAAATAAATAAAATATTTAATTATACATACTTTATCAAAAACAGAATGTAATCTGTATATAGATTCACAACAATCATATATAGTTGACCATCGGGTTTTTGTTGAAGTTTTAATTCCTCCACCTTTAATTTGTAATTGGATAATAAATTCACGAAGTGTTGCCATTGCTATATGAGATTTTAAAAATAATGTCACTAATGTTTGACAATTATTAATTGTTGTTGTAGCAAATTGATGTTTGCATATATCTTTGGAAATTAAATTTAAATAATGTGCAATACACCACATAGATAAGATATTTGGATATTTTTTACTGATTAAATTTCGAGCTACTCTGCAATTTGCAGCACCATCTGTTACCAATCCTGAAATTTTTTTAGAACCAATTCTTTCTATAATTTGAGTAATTTGAGTTACTAAA